AGTTATTGGTGAAGGGAGCCTAAGAACCTACCAAAACATTCTGTGCTATTGCAGCTGCCCTTGGATTCCTCCCAGAGACTGAAAGTGAGTCCTTATTGCTGAAGATACTATGCACCTTGGATTCAGAAGGATCCAAACTGGATCTGACCTGAAAGCCTCCTCCCTGAGGACTAGCTTCCTTAGTACCAGAAGGTGCTATACAGACTGCCAAGGGAGGAGAGCAGCTAGTATTCTGCCTAGCTGTAACACCCATGAACACAACAATGACCAGCGTGGCAAAATGTCCCTAAAGTGCAATAGTGGCACTTACCTTTCTCTTTACTCAAGGCTCTTCCAAACAATCAGTTTTCTGCTCATTACATTCTGTGGACAAGATCTTGAAGAGCTTACATAATATTCCCTCATATGGAAATACATTTACTCAACCTGCTGCAGAGTGGCCAGTTGGCTGTTGCTATTCACAGCAAATACCTGTGTTCCAATGTCTTGGAAAGGCATTGCAAGGTACGCCTGTGCATTAGCAAAAACAAACTGCTCTGTAGGGCCCAGTGGGCTCTTTACTCTGTCTTCCCCATGCCTTACTTAAGCTGCCATGCACTTGACTCTGAGAGGCTGTGGTCACTTCACCACAGCTGGGTCCCTGGGGCCTTGTAGGACTGGCAATCACAAAATGGATTCATGAGATGCTAATGTATACACAGAAGCTGGGTGAAATTTGACACATAGTGCAGAAACTGAACTATCAAATTAACAGGAGTAAGTGTTGTTGTCACCATCCTTTCCCACAGGCTAATACATTCCAGGGGTGGGGGATATGATGAATCATTACAAGTATCTTTTGACCTGCAGCTCTCCATACCCCACAACTGTGATGGTGCATTTTTTAAAAAATTTGATTTAATTAGTGCATTTCTTATGACTTCAGAGAATATGTCACTGATGCCTTGATAAGGCTTTTAAGAACTCTGTTTCTGGTCTCATGTAGGAAGATGAGTGGGCTCTCCTTTCAACAGATATTAGCACACATTTGATTCCCCTTTTCACGTACATTGCCTTGAACATGTGGAAGTTCTGTGTTTCTGTGACTCTATTCCTTTGGAAGATTTTTTCCCCACTATTTTTTAAATAAGAAAGCCTGTAAAAAGCCTTATCTAGATGGTATTACTTCTTGGTTTTCACTGTTGTGTTGAAAGGCTGCACTCACATGCAGCACATAGATGGTCCATCCACTTAGGACTAATCCCAGGTGTAGTTCTTAGGAGTTTTTAAGATTGTCGCTAACATTAACTTTCAGCTCCTTTGGGTTTATATTCTTTTCTCTTACAAAAAAGGAATTAGACAAAAGAACAAAGAAAGTGAGGGAGGAAAAAAGAAAAGGACTGTCATCTGTCTGTCTGTCTAAGTTTTAAACCAGGCATGATGCCATGTGCCTGTAACCCTTGCACTGAGGAGGCAAAAGCAGGTAGATCATTCTCCAGTTCAAAGCCAGCCTGGGTTACATAGTAAAAACCCTTTCTTAGAAAAAAAATAAAAACCCTTTCTTAAAAAAAAAAAAAAAAAAAGAGAAACACCAAATTTTGTAGTACTATTTTCTTAATAACCCCCTATAAAGGTAATATATAATGATTTCTGTTTTCTCCATTTCCTGTGAGCAAATTTATGCAAGACTGATGTGCTTAATCAAGACCCCTCCTGTTAGCAAATCTTTAAGGCTGAGACTTTGCTTATGATCAGTTTATGTTGACCCATACTATATGTTGGCATTGGAAAATATTGGATAAGACATTCATGTATATGTATGTGTTTATGTATATTATATATATATGTATATATATATATATACATATATATATATATATTGGTCAAAAACAAAATTTATAGATTGGTTTTCACTTAACCTCAGAGAAAACCTCCCTTCCTTAAATCTCATGGGACAGACCACTAGAAAGAACAGGAGATGAGACTCTTCTAAAGAATTCCAGGAATTAAGATAAAGACAAGAGCACACATCAATAATGATGAATGCAGCCATGTTGCCCTGAGAGATTTAATTTTTAAACCCACTTGATAGCTGAGGAATCACTCTCCATGGAGTCTCGGTGACTGTCTTGATCACAGGCAGACCAAGTCAAAGGCTGTGTAGCACCAGCCCTGCTCTGGTTGGAGCACAAGCATTCTCAAATGTGCTTTCCTTTTGAGACCATCTTTTTGAGACTATGCAAGAGTATGCATGCCTTAGCATGCCTTGCCAACCCTTCTAGTGGCAAAGTCAGAGATGACCAGAACTGTGCAGCTAAAGGCTGCAAGCAAGCAGCAAGTGTGAGTTCTCTATTCTATAAGGCTGAACTTGGGCAAGCTGACTGTGAAGAACTTCTGTTGGTGTCCCCACTGCCGGTCAGAGATAAGCGGTTAACTGCTTCTGGTTCTGCATCTCCAGTGGGCTAGCTGCACAATAAACTGATGTCTTCTCAAATATTCTTCTACAGGTTTACTTGAAATTTTCAGAGCACTTCCCCAGCTAGATTGTGTTTCCCATTAGAGTTAGTGGTTTATTTTGAAGCCCTAGTGGTCCCTTCTAAAGCCTGTGACCTCTGCAGAGACAAGCAGTTACTTGTTCACCAGGCAGGGCACAGGCAGGACTGCAGTGTACCAACCACACAACCCTGTGTGCATAGACCCCTCCACAAGCCTCTCTGGGAGCCGCTTTTGTGGCAGATTCCATTTGGTTTCACAGGATCTGGAAGAGGACAAGGGACCCTTGGCACTGCCCCCCAATCTCCCACGTTCAGGACCATTTGCAAAAGACTCTCAGAGGGAACCCCAGACCAACCCCTGACAGACACTGTCGTAAACGCCATTGTCTGCACAGGGCTTGCCTTTTCCCAGCTGACCTGCCTGAGAGTGGGGAGATGTGAAAAGTTAGAGACAAACTGGCTTCCACCGAGGGAGGGGAGCTTTCTTGTACAGAAAGGAAGGAAATACCTCTGTGGGATTTCTTTTTTTCCCCTCCTCTTCATCCAAAAAAATACAAAGAGACTCTGTCTCAAACGAGAATGTCGGCTTTAAATCTTTTAGGTTTGGATTAACGCTGCAAAAGAAAAAAAAAATCTGACAGGCTTTCAGATATGACTCAGAAAAAGTTTTTCCCCTCGATTCATGTTGTTCATTTGTAAAGCCAAAGGCCGGTAGCTGAATAGTGGGCTGTAGTCGCCCCCCTGGTCATTAGCATGACAATGGTCAGAATTAGCAGCCTGCAGGATCCAAGTTTTTCTTGTCAGCAGAGACATTTAGCTCGAGGTTAATACACGGTTTGCCAAAGGCAAGAAGAAGTCTTTCTTCTCTTGCCCTCAACATTAAAATACATTAAAAGTGAGCCAGGGAAACATGTTTTCAGTTATATGACTTAGCATCTCATCTTACCCTTTTCCCCAGAACGAAAAAAGATATGCAAGGGGTTTTGTTTTGTTTTTTGTTTTCTAATAGCTGTTACCTTACTAGAAAGCGTCCTTGAATGGCAACAAAGGCCAGTGAGTTGATAGACATTTCCTATTACACAGTCACTGTTGGTTTTCACTATTGAGGATGTCAGCAAACATGTCCCAGATCATGTTTTGCTTATTAAATAAAGTGACTTTTATGGGGACATTTTTCACTTGTTGGTGTCTGGAATATGGTTGCTGTTCCTCAGAACCCATGTGACAAGTTATATTTTCTGAGTTTTTTTATGATGGCATTTTTATTTTAAATGTGCAGAGATGTTCAGTCCCGTATTGACCAAAAACAAACAAACAAACAAACACCTTAGTGGCCTTGAGTGGCAGCCTACATCAGTAGCCTGTGTTCATGTAGGGGGTAAAAATGAGAGTAGTTTCTGGTGCCCCTTGGAGAGTGAAAATGAATAGTAGGTCCAAAACATGCTTTAAAATTGATCTTCCTATGTGATGAGGGTTGATTGACTATTAATTCCGAAATTCAAGTTTTAAAAAGAAGACTGCTTCCTGTATGATTTACAGCAGGATTTAAGTGTACAGGAGTTAGTTGACTACTGTGTATTGGAATTATGATAGTATATTTATAAACTAAACGGGGACTGCAGACTTGCCCTTCAGAAACAAATCAACTCCAAGTGAAACCAAAATGTATCTGTTATTGTGCAAAAGTAGTCTTTTTAAACTCGTTGTGATCTAATTCTATGACAGTGATATTTTATTTTAATCACAAACAACTAATAGAATGTATTACTTTTCTGAAATTGCAGAACTGTTTTGTTTACAGTCTGAAAGCCCCTGATACTCAATTTAAGATTTAATACAATGGAATAATTTAAAGTTAGTTTTAGTGTACCTTAGTTTGAGTTTCACATACTAGATATTTGGTTTGACTTTAACAATCATAGATTTATACTGATAAAATTTATGTGAATCATTGAACAAAATTAAGATTACATCTATTCAGTTGCCCAAAATAATCAAGTTGTTACTTTCATAGATATCTTGATTACACCATAGTTATAATGTATCTGGATGATTTTTTTTAAGTCTGACAATGTAATAAGTCTAAAGTTCATTTTCAGTGCCAGAATTATTAGATTTTGTTTCTAGATATGAATTATATTATATGCCATATTACTTCATTTAAATCCAGAATATATTTTATTTCTTCAGAAAGATTGACAATAATTCCCTGTTACAAAAAATCAAAATTTACACTTCATATCATTGAACACAATAGTTTTACAAACTCCGTATGTGTATATATGAAAAGATTTGATATAGGATTAAAACTTCTCTATCAGCTGCTTCAGAGGAAAAACTGGAGTGTAAATGCATGAGAAATATGGCTTTTAATTCCAAATATCTTATGTGTTTGAGTTCAGAGTATTGACTTTCCCCTTGTAAAATATTTAAAGTAATTTACCTAAATTATCTTGAGACACTAAGTGTGAATGATGTACCTCTTGTCTGTATGGGAATGTCAACTGTTTGTGATGACTTCCACAGGCAGCCATGCTCTTCAGCTCTGGGGTCTTTTGGATGGGCTTGCTCTCCATCCCTGTGGCATCCTTGCTTCTGGATGTGCTGTGGAAAGTGTAAGTATATGATATATGGACATATACACAAAACTATATGCGTGTTTCACCCCTCGGGTTTCTGTAGTTCTCAAACTTGTAAAATTTGCAAAACAGGAACCAGCAATGTTTATTAACTTGAAAGAAGAAAGGCGTGATTCAATGAGAAAACTAAATTAGTTTAAAAGACCAAATGAGAAATAAAGTGGTTACTTTCTGATAACATCAAAAGCATGTGCATTTGTTGGATTAGAGAAAATTACATCAGAAAATATGTTTTTAGAAATCACCTGCAAGACGTCAAAATAGAAAGGAAAAAAAAAAAAGATCTTAGCTCAAACATGTTTTTAGGAGCTATGAAAAGAAACTCCTTGCTTTGATGATTCTAAAGATATACTGCAATTTTTCTTAGTAGTCATGTTTTAAAATGATGTCTTATCCTACAATATTACTGAAGTTAATGATATATTTCTTTAGTAACTATTTTAGTATTGTAAATCTCATTTACTTGTTATGACTACTGCTCCTATATTACTAAATAAAAGTGCCCTAGCTCTTCAGATCTGTTGAAGCTCTGCTTGTCCCTGGTTACTGCTGTGTTTGCCAACAACGGCTTGAAAGGAAGCCGAATGTCCACATCTGTAAAGTCTTGGCAGGAGAATTTCCATGCAAATCCTTTTCTCCCTGCAGTATCAAGAGGACGGCCTTCAAAACATTAGTGGATGAAGTTCAGGAGCTCGAGGCAAAATCTCAAGACCCAGGGGCAGTCGTGCTTGGGAAAAGGTAAAGGGCAAATTGAATATGTTCTTTCATAGGAGAATTTTGCGTTTTCCTCTTACTAGTGGCTGAAAGAATGCTGTAAAACTTGCATTCATAATCTGACTTGGGACTGGTGGTGTTATTAACAGACTCTAGAATCATAGAGGTATGGATTCAAACCAGATCTGTCATTGCTAAATAGTGAGTTGTCTTGGGCGAATTTCTTAATGCAACTGAGCCTCAATTTTTTTGCCGCCAATAAAATGGGGCTTATATGCCTACCTTAGAGTAGTTGTCAAGATTGAGTGAAGCAATAGGAGCAGGATAACATAGACCCACAATCACAGCATGTAGGTGGCTGAAGCAGCTGATCATAAGTTCGGGGCCAGCCTTAGCTGCATGAGAAATTTCAGGCCAGCCTCAGACCTTGTGTCTAAAGACTAATTGTCTCTAAAGACTAAATAATAAATTGAAATTGATAATCTAAAATAAGTAGCACAGTGCCAAACACCTAATTAGCATTTAAGTAAATAATACTTAGAAGTAGTTGTATTGAAATTTTTAAAAGAAAAATAATTTTTATTTTGAAATAATATCAATAATTTTTTAAAGGTATGTCATCAAATTCATGGCTTGACATAGGATGAACTTCCCTGTTTGCATTTCTAGCTCAGTGTGCTCTTAGAAACCAATCTAAATACAGGTCATCTAAAGAGTGAGTTACACTTCTCAGGCATTTTTCCTTACCACCACATCCTCCAAACACACAAGCTAGAAGGCTAAATCAATCCACTAAATACACAGAGCATTATTAAAAGAGAATTAATTAAAAGCAATCTATAATAAAAATATAACTATAAAGATAGCCCAGGGAACTCACTTTAATTTTTTTCTTTTATCCTACTAAGCAGACCAAAGGTTTTGTCTAAAGGCCATAGGAAATATTTTTTTGGCCTGCAATATGTCACCTCAGCCTTGCTTCCGCTTTTTTATTCAGTTTGACAGAATGGAAAAGATGTCAGGATGAGAGCTGAAGCCAAGGCCCTGGGCCCCAGTTCTTACCACCTCTCATAGGCAGCCCTTAAAAACTGGTTTGTCCTTCTGTTTTGAACAAAATGGCCCCACTGTTACTTGAGCACTCCCTGTCATCCAGGCACCTCACTGGTTATCTGTATACACTGTCTTACTGAACCCAGACAGCAGCCCAGTGCAGACGGATGTCTCCCGATATGAACATTTTGGGTTCATAGAAACTGAGTCCCTAAAGTGGTCAGCAGTGTGCCCACACCAGCTGATCGAAGAGGTCCTGCTCCAAATCACGATTCTACATCATGGGGTTCATCATAGGAAAGTACCATTTCAATGACCTGGGACCAGCATTCTCTCTCTGTTTTCTCTCTCTGTCGGTGATGCAAAGGATAAGGAAATGCCCTAGCTCACAAAACCAAATAAAGCCATGTAGTAAGAATTCCTAGGGAAAGGCCACTGGAGATACTGTTTCTGTGCCCTTCAAGTATATGTCTCGTATTTGCAGGTGTGTTGGGAAGCCTGTATTAGCCCCTTTCTGCGTGGTTCACCAGTGGCTGACAATTCCAGGTCAGCTAGGACTGAAGTGAGGGTCTCCATATGTTATTCATCCCATGAGTCTGCAGTGTCTGTAGCCCCTTCTGTCTATAATAAACTGTAAATCAGTGGGGGGTGGAAAGAGGGGTTGGGGTTAAGAGCACATGTTGCTCTTGCACAGGACCTGGTTTGGGTTCCCAGCACCCACATGATGGCTCACAACCATCAGTAATTCCAGTTCTGGGGGCTCTAACTCTCTCTTCTGACCTCCAAGGACACCAGGTACAAAAGTGGTGCACATATATACATGCAGACAAAACACTAATACACATAAAATAAGTAAAGTTTTTAAAAACAATGGGTGAATCTAAACCACAAGGAAATGAATTACTCACCTCATAACCACTAATTTCTCTGTGTAAAATACTTCTGATATTTCCCCCTCGGCCTACCCAGCTCATTTGCCTTTTAAATTATCTATTCAGCAATCCTTACAAATGAGTTAGGTAAATTGACAAAATACTGCCAACCAGTCCCTGGAACAGCACATACCTGCCTCCTTGCTGCTCACTGGTGATCTAAAGGCTGGTGATCGGGGTGAGCTCGGTGGCTTCCTGCTAAAAAGCAGCTCAAGGTGGGGCAATGCTGAAGGAGCTATAGAGAGGACAGCAACAGGACAGGAATGCTGCCTCACTAAACTAAACGTCTACAGGTAACATATTAACATTTATCAAACCACCATAACAAGAAAATGTGAACTCAAACACCAGAGGCAAGGGCTGGAAGATGGCTTAGTGGAGAAGAGTGTTGACTACGCAAGTGTTAGGACTTGAGCTCAAGTCTCCAGCACCTTATGAAAAGCTGGGTGTGGCCATGCCTGTAACCCCAGCACTGGAGTGGAGGGGTGGAGGCTGAAGATTGTTGGAGTTAGAGTCAGCCTATTTCCAAATTCAATGAGAGACCCTATCTGCACAGAATAAGGAGGAGAGTGACACAGCAGGACAGCTAATGGTCTTGTGTCCTTCACAGGTGCCTGAGTAGACACACACACACACACACACACACACACACACACACACACAAAGTGTGTGATAAGGGATTATGGAGACTGTGGCCTCATTGGGAACAGAGACTCTTGGATATCACTAGAATTATGTGTGAGCCATGTAGATTATGTGCCATGTAGATTATGGATAATGAGACTCACAGTTTGATATTCAACTGTAGACATTAGCCAGCGGAGCTGTTTCTTAACAGGTCTGAGCTTAGGATCTTCATGTCAGGCTTCACCAACTTGTCTATCACCGCTATTTTGCCCCTTGGTCTCAGCATATAGGAAAGACTAGGAAATATGGGATGTCATATGACCTGGTCATGGAGGACAATGATGAGGTTCACTCCCAGCCTCTCAATATTGTTTTCTTAATGGAAAGCAATTTCAGTATTGTCCTAGAACCAACCAATGAAATTGTGTGTCCCAGTTCTCACTTGGGTCTTTATGTCAGTATGACAGCACATGCTCTGTGGGAAATAAAGAAGTATAGAAAAGCTGTTCTGGGACTAGGGCCTGTCGGTGTGGTCCCTGCTGTGGAATCTTGAGGGCCTGACTTCGGATCTATAGAACCAACATAAAAAGCCAGGATGGTAGAGCATACATGTAACCGAGGGCCAGAGACTAGCAGATTCCCAAAGCCCATCTGTTGGGCCAGACTCAAGCAGTGAGCTTCTGGTGTGCTGACAGATCCTGTCTCAAAAAGTAAAGGTACAACTACACTAACAAATAACATTCACCAAAACCACAACACAACACACATGTGCACACTAAATTTTTTCAGTAGTCTAAGAAAAAAAATTTTAAGAAAAAGCTTTTCTTCAGCCTACTCATCGCCAGGGTGAAAAGGGATGGAGTAGTCTCTCCTCCTAGACAGAGATTAGGCTGTGGTTCATTCTCCCCAGCAGCACTGCTTGCTATCTCACCATGCTGTGCATTAACCCTTTCGTGATTAAATCTTGTTAATTTTCCCAACATTCGTTTTATTTGGCCAGTTGTCCTAGTTTGCTTTTTGTTGCTGTGATTAAAAAAAAAGAAAAGAAAAAGAAAAAGAGAAAAAAAAACCACTGGCCAAAAGCAACTTGTAGAAGAAAGGGTTTATTTCAGCTTACAGGTTACTATCCATCAACAGGGAAGCCATGGCTGGCACTAGCAACATAAAACTTAACAGAGACCATGGAGGAATGCTCTTGCTGATTTGCTTTCTCTGGCTTGCTCAGCTACTTTTCTTACACAGTTCAGGCCCACCAGCTCAGGGATGGCATTACACCAACCCAGGCCTATAGTCCACAGTGGGCTGAGCCCTCCCACATTAATTAGCAATCAAGAAGATATCCCCACAGACTTGCCTGCAGGCCACTCCAATGGAACCAGTTCTTCAGTTGAGATTGGTTCTTCTTGAGTATGTCTAGGTTTACGCCAAGTTGGTAAAAGCCAAAGTACACCAAACCAATACATGCCACTCTACCACCCTTCAAACGTGACCAGGATTCCTTTAAAATAACACATTCTTTGACTGTATATGAGTTTTTACCAATAACATATTTTAGTGTTTCTAAAAGAAATACTATATTTAAACTCAGTATCTTTTCACTCACCTCCACTAAATACTCAAGTTACAACATTGTGATGAGTTGGAAATAAAGCAACAGTGTTTAAATAGTAGTTACTGTAATTGCATTAAACAAACTTGGAATTTGCATATCTTGGTATGTAAATGAAAGACCCTACAAGATTAAGAGAAACTACTACCTAAGAATTGTAATGGATGTGGTTTTAGTCAAACTATGTCTTGGTCCTTCTCTCTTTCTCTTTTTTCTATCACACTGAGTTAAGCTATCCAACAAAAAAACTAAACTTTTAGTATACTTACTGGTGTTGACATGTTATCCACATATTTTATAATGAGACCTGTTAGTAATCTTAGTCCCAATAAACAGAGATGGCATAAAACTGCATCAATTTTGAAATGATAAACTGTTTCCCATGGGTAGAATAGGGCCAGGGAAAACCAACTCACCATCACCTCTAATTTACAAAGCACCCTCCTGTAAGATGGCATTTATATTCTGGAGGAGACAGAAAACGGAGTCATGAAGGAAAGAGAACGGCAACAAAAACATAGTTGTTTTCTTAGCAGTGAAGTAGAATGGGGCATCAGGAATTATATAGCGGTATTTCTCTCACACCGAACCAAGGTTAAGTACAAACCAAGGCATCAAAAGTGATCCTTACAAAGTACCTTTTCTAATAGAATCCCGGGGATCTGGGGGATAGGAGTGGGAGGGGCCAGCATTTGTTGAGTGCTTCCTAAGTGTCAATCACTATGCTGACAAGTGGCTAAACCCTGCCTGTCTGCTAGAGAGTTTTGTATTGTTCTCCCATTATAAGCAAAATGGCCAAGGAAGGTTTCTCTACAGTGAGCCAGCTAACAAGTAGCAGACTCAAAATCAAGTCAGAGACGGTCTCCGGAGTCTATGCTCTTTTCTGATGGATGTGCCGAATTTCCAAGAAAGTCTTGGTGCTCAAAGAAATTAGATAGATAGATAGATAGATAGATAGATAGATAGATAGATAGATAGATAGATAGATAGATAATAAATCCAAAGTAAATCAAATAAATAAGTAAATCATAGGGAAAAATCATTATCTTGTGTATTTCAGTTGCTAAAATATGGAAGACAAAATCCATCCCTATCTGTCTTCATATTTTGGTGTTGTGATATTCAAGTGTGATGCATTTTGGAAGGCCAACCTGAAACCTAGAAAATGGGACTTGGGGAAGAAGTGGCAGAAAGCTCCTTTGCCCTTCTCCAGCCTTCTATAATCACTTCAGCTTCAAACACCAGAGACTGCCAGACACACTGTCCATAGTGTTCTGCTAACAAAATGGGATTGTTCGAGGCTCACACTCTCAACATCCCCAGAGGAGTTACCCATTTAGTGCCCTTAGAGTCTCAGACTCTGTAGTGTTAGATCATGTAAACAGAGGGACAGGCAAAGTGGCTTGAGAGAGAGGACCCTTTTTCCCTTGCATGTGGTAGAAACAAGGTTTACAATGAACTGCACTGCCACTCCAGTTTTCCATGAATTTGTTTTCTTCTTTTAATGCAGCTAATTCCCAGTGACAATAAAATATGTCTAGTAAGCCCTAGCTAACATCCCTAGGCTTCAAAAACTATGTGAGAGATTAATACAAATGTCAACATTTCTAAATATTTTCCTTCAATTTTTGCCTAAATGTCTATATAATTCATTTATACAATGAGGAGGATCTTTTTTGTGTGTGTATGTGTAGATGATAAAGATAATTCCATTTCAGGCTTTCAAAAAAAATGACAAAACACAGAACTAGCATAATTTACAGCAGCTTAACCAAAGCTTGCCTAGTGAGGAAAAAACAAGATGGGAATGTTTTTTAGCTGACGTCTAATTGTTAGAACACTCTTGCGTGGCCGGCCATTCACTCCATCACAGACACCTTCTTTCCTCCCACACTCACTGGTCTTTGCTATCAAAGAACATTTAATAAAGCAGCACAATTGGTGAGATGGAGGAAGTGTGTAAGTGTGTCTCCAAATTGCTCAGATTCCTGTACCCAACAAATGTTTGGATTCCTGTTTTGTGTGAGGAACCCCTCTGCATCCAGTAGAGGGAAAGATGTGTGATACCTCACAGTGTGGTTTGCAGAAGTTCCGTGATTCATTCTGAAGACCTCACTGTGGAGTTCAGGTTAAACACTTAGGGATTTTTGTTTCCTTGTTGCTTTGACTACAACAATTATTTTCTAAAAACAATTCATATTTTAAAATGAAATTGGCATACTTAAGCCCGATTAGAGTGGTAGGGATTTTTCTAATTAAAAAGGATAATATTTTGCCCTTTGTTTTTTTTTCATTTTTTTAGTATAATTAAAATTATCATTTTCTACCAGAATATGTTGAAGTGTAAGCAAGATATAGTATGAGCAAGATGGCTGTATGTAAACTCTAAAAGTTCTGTACTTAGAATAGGCACAGTGGGGCAATCAAGGTTTTAGATGATTTGGTAATGTTTTACTACTTGTGTTGAACAGATTCTTTATTCCCATTTGATTTAGATATGATCGTGCTGGGCAAAGAAATCCTAGTTTTCCTAGATTACCATTAAAGACAAAACTCCTCCCTAATGAGGGAAGAAATACTTAAGATCTCATTTGCTCTCTGAGAAAATAGAATAAAAAAGAATCAGATCTGACTGCCAGTTCTTGGGCTTTTGTTCGGTCTACCTCTGCTGCTAGCCCTGCAGAGAGCCCGGCTCCCTGAGTTGACCATGTGTGTCACACTTTTGTGCCTGCTCCACAGCCTCACCGAAAGGGCCCAGCTGCTCAAGAATGTCTTTAAGAAGAACCACGTCAATCTCTACCGCTCTGAGTCTCTGCAGCAGAACCTGCTCCGTGAGTATTGGAGTTTTGATTAAATTGTGTGCTTTGTGCGTCCCAGCATTTATCAGAGCAGTGCGTTGTATTTCCACCATACTTAACCGTTTAAAATTAATGGTTTAAAATTTCGCAACATGTGTATAAAAACAAGTGGTTGGTTAACAAACCCGTGGGCTACACCGTCTCCTGGCTAATAGCGAATTTTAAAATGCGGCTGTCTCCACATTCCTTGCAGCCTTAAATCTTAAAAGGAAGCAGTGGAATAAATCTTAACTCTGAAAAGCTGCCTCTATGCTGTTATCTTTTCTACTTGAATAACTTCGCAAGGGTCTTTTCAGCCTTCATGCAATGCAAGGAAACATATATTTTCTCCTTCAAAAATATTTATGCATATTTAGAGTTGGAAGGAGTTATTGGGTATCTCACCCTCTTAACATTTCAAGGACCTGAAAGAGAACATAATATATACAGACCTGTAGTAAATTTACTTGTATCGGTAATATATCTTTTATTTTGTGTTTCCACATGTAATTTATTTTCCTTTATATATGCTCAAGTGCAAGTCTTTAGTCTTTATATATCAAGGGCCTTTTCCAAAGATGTGATTCCCCCTAGGGGTTATCTCCTATCCCCACACCCCTTCTGACCATGTAAACATCTGTTGTTGTGTGTGTTTGTGTGTGTGTGTGTGTGTGTGTGTGTGTGTGTGTGTGTGTGTATGCGTATGTTGGGAGAAAAGAATGTTACCTAAAGAAAGCAGGCTTCTCCTTCACCACTGGCAATTCCGTGTGTTCATCCCCTCCTCCTCCTAAGTGCCATTAATTAACAAATTACCATATTTGTATTTAAAGAGTATAGGGTAGCATTTTCATCTGTGTGCTCAATCATGGTAGAATAATTTAGTCAAGCTAATTAATACATTCCTCTATTCACCTACATATTCTACTCTCCAACCTTCTTACTCACCGGGTGCCTATCTGAAAATGTATCAGTGCCATGATTAGACTCTGAGCCCTTCCAGTCATGGGAAAGCAAAAACGAAGGGAGTAGACTTGCCATGTAGATCAGAGGATTGAAGGACATTGGACAGTTTCTGCCTAATTGAATGGGAAGCAGGATTTAGCGCCTCTACACTGACAATCTCTGGTCCTCCCAACTCTCCCTTTTTGACTGCTGAATTTGTGCCTTTTCCAGATGTTAAAAATGAGCACCCCTTGCTTCTGAAGGTGGGATATACATACCATTTCTCCCAGGCAGGCCGTGAACACTCAGAACTAATGGTAATTTCCAGGGAGCTCATTAAACCATTTCTGTTCATTACTTACAGATGGCTATGCCTTCTCTCAAGATGAAAATGGCATCGTCTCACAGTCTGAAGTGATTAGAGCCTATGATACCACCAAACAGAGGCCGGATGAGTGGTGATAAGGAGGCCTAAGCAACAGGCCCTGCTGAGTCTCTGAGAAGAGCTGTCACAATCTATGGTCACCACTGCAATCTGATGACCAATCCCAGTCTGGTCCATGGGGAGAAAAAGTGGATCTGAGCTCATCTCACAAATGGACATTATGCGAATACTATACCACCATCGCCCTCAGATGTTCTCAAGTACCTGCTAAGGCTTCGTAAACTGATACCGGAAATGACCTTGTGTCTTGCCTGAGTGCTTTCTCAAAATGGGGACAGGTCAGTGTTCACAAGCCATCCCTCTGGGGCTGTAACTATCAGTTCGTTGGCTCAACCACCAATCAACCATTTAAACAAACAAACAAACAAACAACTCTGAATGGTGTTAAGGGGAGAACTCTTGATATCCAGACTTAGATTTCAGGATAGGCTGAAACAAACCAGCATTCTTGACTCACTCTACTGAACACTTCTAAACAAGGCATTAATACGTGTTTGTGTCAAAAAGTGTCTTGCAAAGTGTTTGCCAAAGATGTTCAGTGCGTGTTTCTCATTCAGTAGTCAACTGCCCAGAAATTTAAAAGAAAGTTTCCTCGAAGCGCTGCTGTGCGATCTGCATGCTTGACTTTTCAGATGTGAGCGCAACTTGCAAACATTGAACATTTCCAGGCATTCGCTACTAAAGTCTGTGATGTCGCACCTTCGGCCTTACAACTGCTTCTCTGTCGATTGTCCCCTTGATTTGTTTCAGTGGGAGGGACCTGTGTCTGTGTGACTGTTGTTACAACACTTATTTTTTTTTTGAACTGTATTGTCTGTCATTTCTGATGAACTTTAGACTCCTTTAGATGTTCCTAGAAATCTGACTTCCGTTGTGTATTGAGTGATGTCACTTCGTCTTCAATTTTTGTCTCTCCTAAGAAATTATGCTTACGTATTTACAGGGGACTTCCAAAGCTTCTGTTGTGACGTTCAGTATAATCCATCAAATAGTGCATGGGCTGTCGTGTGCATAGGTTCGGCTTTTGTCCTGTGTTCTGTTTGTTTCTCACTGTGTGTTCCCACTGGAGATGGTGTATGTAGCACAGTTGGTGTGACAGTGACTACCCATATGCTTAAGCCTGAGAATTACTGCACAGTTCACCCGGCCAACAGTTCCCAAAGTGAGTCATGTACTGCTTATTGACACGAGACAGGTGAGTAGCACATTCCCCTCATTTTAAGGAGCTACGTGTTACTCCAGCAAACCTTCCAGTCAATGAAAATGTCTCATCATGAGTAGGGGTCACTGATATGCTTTCAAATAGACGTCCATTCTCATTAGCTTTGGTATTTCCATGAAATCTCCTGGGAAATGCCTATTTTGCTACCAACAATAAATGGTGAAGGGGCTGTTTAAAACCACACCCAGTTTTCTACAGTTTTTACAATATTTTTGTCATCTTAAAAGATTATAAAGGGAGTTCTAGTTTTCAGATACACTTCAGAGATAGAAACAAACTATTCTGCCTTTTACTCAAAAGCCTGTTTGCCTTCAAGTGGGTTACCAGCAAAATAGGGCCCTTTAAATGTGTGCAAGGACTAGCTTTCAGAAATTACCCCATTTCATCATTTACATGGTTCCCCCCTTTCTCTCAGTCTGGATTTAAAATTAGAGTGTGTCTCTTCCTTCTCTAAATTTGTAGCTAGTTATCAGTGTGTCTCCGCATTCCCTACAAATGAGAGGTTCTACACATTCCCATAATTCTAAAGGGAGTGGAGTGGACTGTACTTCACATCTCAAACCCATCCTGTTGGAACTTAGATTAAGCAACCCGTAAACAAAGCATCTGGCAGAACAGCACACATAGAATTTAAGGTGATCTATCCAATTGTGAAGCTGTAGACTTTGACCTTCCACCAACTAAATCTGGCAAGTAGGTTTTCCTCGGCCTCCTGGTGGTGAGAGTTGAGGTCACACCACAGAAATGAGCGGTTACCCAGGGATGGCTTCCCTTTGGCCTTGCGCCATCAGAGACATCTGTATCCAGGTTCCGCCATCAAAACATTGTGGATGAGAATGGAATCTTCTGACCTCAGAGTGAAAAGCTAAAGTCTTCTTTTATCTTGAATCATGAATGATTTTGATGGAACTCTTCCACATACGAATACTCATGGTTAATCAGTGTACATCATACCCTGAAATGAAACTCTTGATGCTTGTTCATACCTGGATCCCGTGTTTGAATGGTGGACATTAAGTCAGTCTACGTGTTACTTGGGTAAAACTTGAAGTAGAGAATTGCTATTGCAGTGAGTTTATAGAGACTTCCTACTCCTGAGTTTCTAGCCTTTGTTAACTGGCGGGGAAAGCTTTCTGGTTTCACCGGGAATTGAATGACTGCAGTCAAAGGGACTTTAAACCTGTCTTTTCTGAAATAACCAGTATGTAACTCCAATTTAAAAGTCCCCTTTGGGGATCCTAGTAAATGCTGACATGACTGCTTTGTAATGTTTACAATCCAGAAAATAGTATTTATAGCAGAAAAGCCTCGTTACTTTAGCAATGAAAAGCTGGGAGTGTCTTCATTCATGTTGGAATATGCACAGCAGTATACAGCATGGACTTTCTCTATGTGTTAGATGTACATGCAAAAATACATTGGTGTCTCGCACCCAGAAAGACACTATGTTGTAGAAGGCATTAGCAGGAATGTAATGTTTGCTTCTTGGCTGGCACTCCCTTCAGCGCTCTGTGTGAGATGGCGTCAGCCGCAAAGAGAACTTACTGGAAAGCTCTCTCACCCAAACAGATGAAGGGATACTGCCAAATAAGGGAGCCATGAATTGTATTGTCATTCTAGAGACAATGACAGTGAGTCCTTTCCCTTCCCAACAGGCAAAATGAATTCAAGGAATGATCAGCATGTAATCTCAGCATTTAATTATATACTGTAATTTTTCAATTCGGTATCCCAGATAGCTGGGATGATACCCACAGGTTAATTTGTTCTTATACTTAGTGTCACACTCTTAAGCTGTCATTGAAAAATGTCCTTTCAGAAAATGAATGCTAGTCAGAGAGCCACAGAGACATCCTCTTAAAGAAAAGTGTGTGGCTATTACAAAGCCGCCTACTCATCGTACGGTTGGGTTTTTGATGGTTCCAGGTCTTAAAACTTGTTTCATGAAATCAATCTTTAGTCTAGTAAGTAAACTACAAAATTTATCAAGAAAATGTCCTACTCATTCACACTACAGTGAGCAGGTATGTGGAATTCCTTCTGTCCATTGCTTACAGTAACACCAAGTGGCTCAGTGCCTCATAAATGCTTTTTAATGACGAGTATTTCTGGATGGCCTCTTAAACATAGCATAGCCTGATTTTTCTCACCTTAAAATAAAACACTTGTGAAACTTAGTTATACTTTGCTGTATTTTAATTAACCTTCAACAGCTATTAAAATGGAATGTAAGTTAAATTTTGAGGAAAAGGAAGCGAATGCCCTCCATGTTTCTTATTGGTTTATTTTTTGTAGGAGAACAGCTGTTTGTGTTTCTTGGTTTTGTGTGTGTTTGTTTTATTTTGTTTTTTGATAGGCTTATGGCTTATTTTGCATGAAGTAATATTTAAAGTGATCCAGGCAAATGCATGGCTTGTGTAAAAATCTCGATATATTTTTCTGTCTTATAAAACTTTATCATGGCCTAACTAGAATTTAATACTTAGTGGACAAGTTAATTAGTCCTCCACACAGCTTTTTTTTAAATACTAAGTGGATTATTTTATAAGTTTCATCAAATTCAATTGAATCTTTTTATTTAATTGAATCTTCTGTTTAGCTTGCCTCCAAGAACTTTTCTCTAGAAAGTTCCTGAAACTTCTCAGCAAATAAATCTTCCCTTAGTAGGAATAAAGGTGGATTGCATATGTGCTTTTTTAAATTAACAGCAATTTTCCATGGGTAAGTTTGCTATGGCGAAGATGTGAGCAGAATTTTTTTTTAATTCCCAGTCATAGACTAGAAGCCATAAATGCAGTGGGTGCAGTTTGTTGTTAGCCTCTTCAAGCTTCATCTTCACCCTTTCAAGTGTATTCAGTTAAAGTTAGAAGGCAGCCTTGGAAGGCGGCTGTGAAAGCTGTAGTGTGCATTAAAGATAACATCGATGTCCAGCTCTGTGGAAAAGCCATTTTGTCGAAACTGCTGTAGAGATTGTGACGCTGCATGAGTGGGGAGTGTCGAATCTGTGCTTATAGTGGTTCTCTCAGGTTTGTGTATCCTAATGTTCAATGCACTGTGTTTTATAAATAGTTACTACCGTTGAGTAAAATCCATTTCTATGCACTGTTCCGTGTCATTGGCCTTTTGTGGATGTGCATGTTTTAAACTGCAAATTTTAAACATTTGTCCTCTAATTGTTATTCAAATAAAATAAACTTCACCATTACAGAACAGCACTGGCTAAAGTTTTGATTGCTACATTTAGAAGTTATGTTGCTTTACAAAGCAGTTCAAAGCCACAATGACTACAGTCTGAGATGGAGTAATCAACTGATCTCTTCTTAACATTTTGTTTGCAGCTGTATTTAATTCATTTAATCCAGCTAAATGAAATATAAAACTAGCTCTCATTTGATAGGAAGGTAGTCTGTGTCATTGACAGAGAAGTATTTTCTGGAAAGTTACTGTATTTCGATTTTATTGTTTGGAAATGTGTCCCATGTACCTTTGCATTTTAAATCAGCGTGCCAGTCACAAGTTCACTCTGCTGTCTGTCCTTTTGTGTTGGAAGAATCTCGTAGGTTCCCTAAACCCCCCCTTAAAAAGAGAAAGAGGAAGAAGGGGAAAGTTGGCCAAGTTTAGACAATTACATTCGAAGGATGTAACCATAAAATAACAAAATTGGCCAAAAGTGCAGGGAAACACCAGAAATAAGGATAATTTTTTTTTCAGAAATAAACATCGATGAAGATTCTTGATACAGAGGTATTGAGCATGACAAATGGGGAAATATCTGATTTGATTACATTGTGGTCATATCTATTTAGCTGTTCAAGCCCCTGTCCTCTCCCACAGGCTTCCTGAGGCACCTGGTGGTGGGCCTTCATGCAAAGCTCCAGTAAAGCAGTTTGTGGAGAAGTTACCTTTGAAACCTCTTGTAATTTGCACACTTAACCGTCATCCCCCCTTTAAAAAAAAAAAAAAAAAAAGCGTGTGTTGATACTGATGCCTTGACCTAAGATGCCTTTTGCCTTCTACTGTTACCATAGGCAACAACAAACTTGAAATACAACCTCATAAATTCAGTGCGTCATTCCCATTTAAAATCTGTTTTCCCATGCTTATAGCATCTCTACCCTAAAGCTACCATTGCTGCACATAGGCACCTCAGTTTAATGAAGAAACGTCTTACGAACCTGGATAATTTCACAAGTAAGCTCATAAAAAATATTGGAAAATATGAAATACTTTGTAACATTTGGTCTTTATTACCTCTAAGTACAAACTGGGTAGCAACTGAAAGAAACATTCTGTCAGAATAACTCCACTAATAATGAATGTCTAATTGCAATTTGTAAATAGCCAGGTACATAAATATATGTTAACACTTAGCCCTCTTAATAGCTTAGCATGCCTATAAATTATTATTTTTCCTAAACATATATGAAATTATGATACCAGCTCAATGTCATGTATCAGATTCCTGATTGTAACTGTACATATATTTTTTTTCAGGAAGCCTTTTATTTACCTCATTTTAAGAAAAATTTTCCTGTGCGTTCAAATCAATCTGATAATATGACATATAGCTCCTAACACCAAAAAAGAATAGCAGGGTAGGAAAAAACATGAGGGAAACAGTCTATCAATTTGGACAATTAAAAGTGTGGCAAGTTGGCTTTGGAATGGATAGTAAATTCTAAAGCAAACTTTCTCTGTTAGATATGTGTTCTATAACATGATAAAATGAATGCATAGCCCATGCTGTGGTTTGGGCGCATGTGTTAAAGCCTTGGTCCACAGAGTGGTACTCCTGGGAGGTGGGGCCTAGTGAAAGATGTTCAGAGGCAGGCCCTCAAGAGGCATGGGGTGACTCTGGCCCTTCCTCAGTCCTGCTTTTCACCTTGGCTCATGAAGGATGAAGCTTTGCTTCCTACACGTTCCTATGATGATGTGCTGCCTCATCGTGAGCCAAAGCAATGGGAGCCTCCAAACCTCTGAGCCCAAGTAAACCTTTTTATATTCTAAAATTCAATCTCAACTATTCTATTATAATGCTGGAAAGCTAACATCAACCATAGTTCCCCTCTTGCTGGAGATAGGCAGACAGCAATCTGGCTGCTTGACAAGGAGCCCTGAGTTATGGAGACACTATCTCTGTTCTCTGTCCCCAGTCAGTGGTACCTGCTGTCCCACAGCAATGGGTCTTCTGTTTTTATTCTAGGGTATTTTACCTGCTCTCTATCATTAATTTACCACCCAGTCCCACCCCACTAGAATGCAAGTGATTTGAGACAGTCATTCTTCTTACCCACAAAATCCAAAGCAATGAGGTGCTATTAACACTTTACATTTTACAAATGAGAAAAACAGCCGTGAAACAGATGGCCCAAAGTCTCTTTTAAGCAAAAGCCAGAAAGCTAACCAGACATAAGACTCAAAAGCCATGCCAAGCCACATTCTGGTCTCTCCTGTTTCTTGCGTGTAAAGGGGAAAGTGTTTATCATCTAACATTTCTAGTCAGGCTTTATTTCATGTTCTCATAATGCAGCACAAGCTGCATGCCTGTTAGGACACCTGATTGTATAGGAGATGTATGATACTATACAACTA